ACCTTGGGGCCCAAAGTTCCTTCCCACATAGACTAGTCCCCAGATCAGACTACATTTTTGCTGTACACCATGTGATTGCCTCCAGGTCTTGTATGACCATTACATGACTTCTGGCCAAAGATGCAGACTGGAATTTCAAACCAAAGAGAATGATAAAAATATTAAAAACTCAACTATGCAAGTTACCTTGGAAGCATTTCAAATGGGGTTTGGGACATTTGGTTTTCTCATGACAAATGAAAGACATTGCAAGAGAAATATGTATTAGCATTATATATATGAGGAAGGCAGGGAGAGGTAGGTACATTTCTTTCAGCAGAGTAGAGCTGTGCTAACCATAGATTTTTTTATCTACCCTCAACCTAAACAAAAACCCACAAGTGTGATTTCAAGCTTGAATTCTAAGGAACAGCCAAGCATGCAACCTGATGAGGAGCAGATGTTCTGAGGGTTCAAAAGGACTTCTGAATAGAAAGACTAAGTTTTTCCCCACTCTTTTTGTTTCTACCTAGTAGGTAAATGGTAACGCCAAAGATAACAGAATCAGGAATTTGGGTTTAAAATGTCATTTCAAGTGTTGAATCAATTTAATACAAAATATCATAATAGCACCAGTACCTTTTCAAGAATATGGATACATAAGTTATCAATTCTGTAATCAAACCACAGATGACTGGACATAATGCATTTGCAATGAACTAGATAAATTTATGGCTACTAAGATCCAAAAAAAATAGTAGACATCATATGCACGTGTAACTTCTGCTCTCTTTACAAACGGGTCCCATATGTTCCTACTTCTATTGGTTGTTTTCTACTGCACAGAAATACTTAGGGGTGTTGCCTAACTCCCAAAATGTCTAAAAACTGAATTTCACAAATCTCCTTAAGCTTCATTAATTGTGAACACAACAGAAGACTTTTCCCCGGAAAGTATAAAACATTGTAAAGTAGTCAGCAATTACACCTTTTTTCCATTGTCCCTTCTCAGAATAGGTTTAAGCAGGCTGCAGACCTCCTTAACCTACAAAACAGATGTTTTTTCTTTGCATGACTTTGCAGATTTATATTCAATTGACTATTAAAAATGGAAATATATTTTTTTTTAATCCTACGTTCTCATCAATAGGGAACAAAAGTAATAGATACAAACCTTACTGCATTCATTGATTGCACTGAATTGTGTCTTCATCTTTCACATATGAATCTTAGCGCTGTGGAAGCAAGCCAACTGCAAACTTAAGTAAAAGAAACTAAGCATTTAGCAATTATGAGCCACAAACAAGAGGTCAGATTGGTTCTCAACCATTATAAATCAACATAGAAATAATTACCTTCAGTTATGCACTTAATTAGATAGTAACAGCCATTGTTAATGTTTTTAAAGCTCCAGCCTATTTAAGAACAAAACAGGCCACAAATCTACCCAAATGTTCCTCTAGAAGAGCAGATAACCTGAGGTTTCCAACCATCACAACAAGCCTTCTACTTATTAGGTTTGGGTTGAGGTTTTTGTTTTCTATACGTTTTTTTCTCCTTCAGAAAATACAAACATGTATCTAAAAAAGCCTACAGTTGTACATAAAGCATATTAATTTAAAAAAAGACATCTGAAGGCTGGTATTCTTTTTATTTCATGTTAATTCCAGAAGAAAACCTAGTAGAAAATCTAGATGCTTGGAAATGATAGTGCTGAGTGTTGAAGAAAAGCCCTGAACAGCATAGGTGCTTGAGGTTTTTTTTTTAATCTGTATCTCAAGTCTGGGTGCATTGTTGTTAAAAACCTACATTGAAGAGTCCATGAGATAAAAAAGAAAAAAAAAAACAACCAACATACACCACCATGATATTACATTCCTTCCTGATACAGCTTCAGAGAGGTTACATAAAAGGTCTACAAATGAACAGTCACCGAGTCAACGTATGAGAGGAAATTTTTTGCAAAAACAGACCAGAGCCAGAGTAAAGTGTTTTAAGATGTAGGTTTGACTCTCCTTCAGCAGCAGCAGATATATCTTTGCCCTGACCTAGATGAAGCAGAACACAGGGCAAGAATGCAACTTCTTCAATCTGAATCCCAAAAGAAGTAAGCAGTTTTTGAAAGAAAGCATACAGACAAATTGATTCACAGGTTCCAGACTGTGAATTCTAAAGGCTGTAGCTCCCAGAAAGTTCCAAGTAAAGCACAAAAGTACCCAGAGAGGGGCTGGTTTTCAGACATACGAGAATGGTTGGACAACATCTCATTATTCTGTGTCTAGCTTTTGCGGCAGTCATCCTCAAGAAGTCTTACACAAAGCTGAGACAACTAACTTTCCTAGGTGGGGAAAAGGAAAGGAAACCTACAACAAGAAAGACAGCTTTGTTAGTTAGAGCTCCTTTATTAATGCTACAGTGCAGCAGCAACATCAACTGAAATATACAGTTATTTGTACAGAATACAAAAAATATAACCCTTCATAAAATTTAAACTGTGATAGAAATTATGAATTCAGCTAAACAGTTAATATAGAACATTCTCTCAAATAATGTGGACAGGTACACTCAGCCAACCCAATATAGTATTTTCTCTAATCTGAAGACAAACATACAGAGCAGTTTAGTAGTTCAGTATATCCATATATCACACCTAAGCTCAGACTTGCGAGCAAACTAACAGTTTTTCAAGTTTTTTTCCTTTATCCCTGTTCTCTATTGATAGCACAGTGGTTCCATAACCAGACAGTGACTGAATTTTCAACAGTAGCATTCATTAGCAGATACAGAGAAGTACTATTCAGACAACCAGCTTAAGGTACCATGGTTTCCACAACAGACACATGATATTACTGGCAAAACCCCAACTTTATAGAAGGCTCTGAGTGTTTAGCTATAGTACCACTATGAACAACAATCTATTTCCTAAATATATTCTTCACAATATATTCAGTTGACTAGTGTATCTTTTCTTCATTCTTTTAAAAGAAGTAAAATATGAGATTTTGACATTACAATCTCAAAAATGCCTCAAATACTTGCAAAAAAAAAAAATTCTATCTTAATTCCTCCTTTTTTAAATGAAAAAAAAAAAAATTGCAGACTTTTAAGAAATAGTTTCCAACACACTATATAGTAAAAGTCCGCAAAGTTACACTGCTCTTCAAAAGAAAGTATATCCAGCTGCTGATAACTACGCCCCCCTCCACCTGCTTCTGCATTCTGTCTGTTATCAACAGCACTGGTGAACAATTAATATCATTTAAATGAAATAACATTTCACCTCATATCCTGCAGTGCAAACACAAGCCCTTGATTTGCTCAAGACCTCTTCACTAATAACATCCTATGATACTGGTGGAAAGTTAAAACTGTATGAAAAGAACTAACATCCTGACAGTACCTGCCACTAAGACCCCAACAGCTATGATGTTAAAACTCAAACTCTAGATTGAAAAGTAGGATTCGCATAGGACAGGACAAGGAGTAAATTTATAAAACTACACTACAAAATTGTGCATTCCAAATGGTACATGGTAGTTGAGACACATAACTACAGTAGACACATATCAACAGAGCTATTTCAAATTTTAGGAAGCGTTCCAGCCACGTTACAAGCTGATGTAAAATGATTGTGACAAAGTCACTGCAGTTTACCTAATCCCACTCATTAACAGATAGATTTTTTTCTAATTTATAGAAAAATAAATTAGAAAAATAAAATTTATAGAAAAATTTATATAAATTTTTCTAATTTATGAGAAAAAAAAAGATAATAGATCTGGAACCATGCGTTACATAATTCAAATTACTATCAATTCCGACAGTACCCTCTCCATTTATCTATCCCTAGATTTCAGAGTATGACCAGCTGCAATTACTTGTAATAAATAACCAATCCCCGCTATAGCGTTGGTATATTATTCCATGAATCCCCAAAGGCTTTCTAATTGGTCAGCCAAAACCTTAGCTCTTATCTGCATTTAGTGCAGACTTGATGAGATTTTTCTATGCCTTACAATAACAGCAATCTTGAAGTCAGCCATTTTATTGTCAGTGTAGTGAATAATATCAAGATTCTCCCCATTTTTTAATAACAAATACCAGCAGCACATAAAATGTAAAGTTGCCTTTCATTACCTCTTTGCCTTAAGGCCAAATGAGCAGAAATCTTGTTATACTGTTCCTGATTTTTTTAAATGCCTGAGCCTTTAAAGTTTATTCATTCATTTCCTGAATTCTGTCACTCATTTCCCGAATTTTAGTGAAATACTTCCTCAGAAGTAAACTACAGGTCACGTGTTGTCCTATGTAGAGTCAACTATGAAGAAGTCCATCTCAGATTCCAGTAACTCAATGAGCAACAGTGATTTCCTCCATTTCAAATAAACTTAAAATAAATACCTTCAATTAAATTAACAGTTTCAATCACGACAGCTGTGTAGCATATAAAAAAATAAGAGCTATAGAGAATTAATCCTACTATAGTTATCTAATTATTGGCTTCCTGAACCACAGGAAATTTCTGACTCAATGAATGGCAAAAATTTGCTAAGCTACTACTTGAAATTAAGATGCAGGAATGACATAGAACTGGTAAGAGGTTGGAATAACATTCTGTATGTTAAAACCAGACATTCTTCACTTAAGTGAACTATCCACACCTTGGGGTCAGAAGAGGTAATGATAAACTTTGGTCATGTTCTACACATGCTCAGGTCTCTGAACAACTGGTAACTTCAGGACACACAATTTATCTGCGAGGACCTAAACCAGCCTTCTTCTCCTTTTGCATCATTGGGTTAGTAATGAATTAACACAAGGAAACTGAAATAAACTTGTATGTTTGGTTCCAACCTCAGTTTACCTGAACAGATATATGACAACAAAGTACCTATAAAAGCAGTGCAAATGTAAAAGCTCAATGACAGGGGAGAAAAAAAAATTAAAATAAAACAGAAAAAACCCAAACCAAACTAAACCAAAACCAAACAAAAGAAAAATAAACAAAACAAAACAAACAAAAATCCCACAAAGGGAAAAATAATAAGAATAATAATAAAAAAGCAGTATGAGTTTGCTTAGTGGTTGTTCACTATTTTGCCTTCTGGCAGATGAAAGAAGTTATCTTCTTTGAGTTTAAGATGCTCTGGTAAATCTAGCTGTCTTTTTGCTTCTTCAATGTCTTCTTGAATTGCTGAAATGAGTGCCTCTGAAAAAGATAAGCACAGGCATACTTAAAAGTTGGTCTGAATTCTGTGCACACAATAGCAAGTGAAATAACATGTACCACAGAATAACAGATAACAGTCCCAGAAGTAGAATATAATTATTACCATGGCATTTGAAAGGCAAAATTCTTTGGGTTTGAAATGTTTTTTTTTCCTAACCATACCAGGGTGGGTTGCATTTTTCATCATTATAAGCACTTCTCTCTCCTTGTTCCAGCATACATTTCAGCATTTCTGTTTCAATTCTAACAGAGCTGCCTTTTTTAAAGAAATTAACAGGCTAGACTCATGCTTTTACAAAAAACCTGTGATTTAAAAATTCTTCCTCAGACAAGTGACAATACAGTTTAGTGTGAAACATTGGAGTTTTTTTTTAATTAAACCAACTTGTACGTTTAGTAAAAAATATGTTACTGAAATTTCAAAGGTTAACAGATCAATATCTCATTATGGAAAGACAGACTGAAGACACAGTACTTGCATGAATAAGACAAATCAAGAGACTAGTTTGAGGGAGACCTGCAATACTGACCTAAGGAATCAAAGTTTTTTTCCGGTCGAATATATCCTATTATGACTATACTAAGAATTTCTCCATAAAAGTCTTCTTTGAAGGTGTGGATAATGTGTGTTTCCTAAAGGAAGAGAAATAAGTCAACATTTATGATGAACTTTGAGTTTATTTACCCCCAATGTAAAGATGTAGCTAATACCCCTAATTCAAATTCTCCCCAACACATACCAATCAAGGGAACATTTAGTTAAGCACATATAATGCAAGAGGAAAAAGCTAGGACTTTTGGTTATGTTAGAAAGGAGAATTGTACTTTGCATGGAATTAAAAAAAAAAAATTATTCACTTAAGATTACTCTGATATCCCCCCCCCCAAAAAACAAACCAAAACAAACAAACAAAAAAAAAACAAACAAAACCCCCAGATATTATTCAGGGGAAATGCTTCACCACTTCTTGGAGGAAAAATTTCCAGGCAGCAAATCACGAACAGAGCTTAATATTTCATTCAAATAACTATTAAGATCTTTACTGAAGTGGCTTAAGGAAAGCATTTCTAGCTCACATAGGAACCAACATCTTATGCTCAAAACCACACAAATTTCTGTCTCCAATATAGGCACACACACGCTAGATCCAGCAGAGATATTGGATAGAAAGCTTTTCAGTACTTGCTCAGAAGAGTCTGCTACAAAACTGTTAAGTATACATTTGCACAAGGCAAGCACATTCTGGAGTCTGCTTAGAATCTTGGAAGCATAGATTCATGCCCAAATAAAAGCAGTTTAAACCATCAAAATAGAACTCTTTAGAGAGAATCAGGAAAAGCACCAGCACTTGACAGCATGAAAAAATATAGCTGCTGCAGTTCAGAATTTTAACTCAACTCCTCCATCCTATTATTATATACCTTTAAATATTTATTCTGTAAATCAAGCCACAGCACATGTCATGTATGGATTCCATCATTTTAAAAAAAGAACTAATAGAAAATCATTACAAATTAAGATGCCTCAACATCTGATATGAAAAGCAGGCAGACTGCAGAGCGCAATAGATTAATATGTTCCAGCTCATGGTAGGGCTCTTGTAATCAGTAAATTCAATGCATCGATCAAGTTTATGCTTACTTAGCTTCCAACACTGTAAGCAACCACCATTTCAGAAATACTGTTAAATTTTTATTTGGGAATTATTTAAATAATGCCAGAATAGAAAGAAGAAAATTACCTTTATTTACCTACAGCTGCATTCTCTCTGGCTACTGAATTTTCTTTTCAGAATACAAACATGCAATATAGGTATCAAATACATTTCTAAGAGAAAACAGGATTTCTAGATCTCATTTATGGATCAAATGCTGCTTATCTTATTCAAATTCAACATCTGGTTCATTTATTGCAATAAAAATCCCACACAAAGCAAAATTCTTACCACTGATTTCTTAAAATTCTTATAGAAAGGATTCCATCCTATGCTCAATACCATTTTATGCACATCTCCATTTCCAACACAGGCCCATCCATAGTATATACCAGTAGAGATATCAGATGGAAAGCTTTCAACTACTTGCTCAGAAAAGTTAGCTGCAAAAATTTTGGAAAGTATAAAAGTGTGAGTGACTTTGTGTAAGTCAAGGACATAACAGAATCTTCATTTATAAGCCAAACTGCCTACATACTATTTACCAGCTTAACACTGATGATGATGATGAAAATGATGCAACATGCCATTTGGCAAAATACAAAACAGCGCCATAAAATTCAGTCACTGTGATAATACCAGAGTTATCACATCTGTTGCGCATACAGTATTTTATAGTTACACACATTCTCTTACATGGCAATAACTAACAAACATGCAATACATCCAGTCAGAATGCATTTTTCTCTTAGGATAGCTATCAAAACTTCAATATAGTGAAAGATGAGGTTAAAAAAAAAGTTTATTCTGCACTATAAAATAGCATCACAGGAGTATTTACTTGTCAATTAAATAATTACTTATGAAATAAAATATGTAGAAATGATAGCATGATTTTGTCACCAATCAATTTTGTACATATTGCCTTTCAGAGGCATCTGTGGATTTCTGGAATTTTCTTTGAAAACTACATATCTAAAGTGAAATAAATTCCCTTCTAACTGAACCTAACATTCTTTCAAAAGCACTAATTCTACTTCCCATGTGAGTAGATCTATTCATGTAAGACAAGTTGATTTAGAAGAATATACTGTTACTGAGTTTTTGTCAAACCCCACAAGCAGTAACAACTTATGCCACCTGCTCCCTAGCACCAACGCACCATTTATACACAATGGAGAGAAAAATCCGAAATTATTGACCAATGTTGTCATAAATCCAGACCTCAAAATTGGTCTTAAAAAGTTTCCTTGCCTGCTAGGAGTGGCGCAACGTGACTGTTGACTTCAGTGTCTAAGACAGGCTAAAATTCACTTGAAATACCCATCTGTCTGCGTTTAGACAACTGAAACAAAGATGAGCAATAGGAAGATATTTATTTGTACGCCAAGTCCACCTGCCTGTTTTTTAAAATCTGCATCATTCCCCATGAAAGTTCTTCCCTACAGCTACTCCCAATGCCTATTCCCTTTCTTGTTCTTATCTGAGGTTCATGTAAACGGGTATTTTCCAAGCTGCCACACCACAGCACCGTGCACGTGATCATTTATCTACATCCTGTACATCATTATGACGACTACTAGGTAATTTAAACAAACAAAAAAGAATGAAATAGACTACTTTAAAAGGGGGAAGGGAAGAATAGCACAAAAGAGGCTACAACACTCTTAACTATGTAGAAGAAAAAGAGCCAGAAAAACGCTAACACGGAGCAAGCTACGCCTGTTCACAGAAGGAGCACGCCATGCCAAAGGGGCACCGGTGCAGGACAGCGGGGCGTCTCTCAAGCTCACCGACAAGCCGCCGAGCTCCACCCGGCAGAACAATCCGTCACGGCGCCTCTCGCTCGGGCTGCCTGGGAAACACAGAAACCCCCCCCGCGCCCGACGCCGGCCTCCCCGGCAGGCGCACTGCGGCCGCTCCGCGGGCCCACGGCAGGGACCCGGTGGGGGCCGCGGCAAGCACCTCGCCGGTGTCCCTCACAGGAGGCATTACAGTCGCCCCGCCGCCCGCCGCTCACCGGTGGGGATGCCCAGCTCCTTGGAGCCCCTGCCGAAGCCCTTCACCACCTCCCCTCGGCAGAAGTACGGCAGGTGCCTCATGACGGCCGGCCGCGGCCGTTGGTCGGGCACGCGACGCCAGCGGGAGCCGCCCGCGGCACTCCGAGCTATGCGCCGCAGAGCCGGTTCGGCCCCCGCCCGGCGCTTACCACCACCTCACTCCAGGCCCTACTAAGAAGAGGGGAGGCGCTATATGGAACATTCCAGTTTTCAATTGCTACAACTCCCTGACAGGCACCTACCTCCCCTCAAGGATGGACTTGCCCACACCACCGCGTCCACCCCATAAATGGGAGTGGGGGGAGTAGGAAGGAGGAAAGAGGGGGCTGGGCATGCTCAGGTTGCTGCAGGGCCGCGGTCGTGACTGGGAGGTGGCGGTCCGCTGTGGGAGGGGTGTGGGCTGCTCCCCAGCCTGCCCCGCAGCCGGTGTGGCGGCCCTGACGGCGGCCTTGCTTTCTGCCCTCCCATAGCTCCGTGTGCAGTGCCTGCTCCCGGCTGCGGCCCTCTAGCACCCCTCCCTGGGTGTGAAACGGGGTCTTTGACAAACCGTAGTGGCCCGTCCCCCCTTGTCATAAGCCGGCAGGATGCTCTCGGGCAGCACGGAGGGTCGCCGCCCTCCCTCGGGCTGTGGTAGGCGAAGGGGGCTGTCGTGTCTCTGGGACAGGCTGCTGCGGGGCCGGGGCCTGCCCCGGGAAGGGAAGCCTGTGTGATGTAGGGCGGGTCAGCCCTTTGGGTGCTCAGCCGAGGGGTGTATCCTGAGCGAAGCTAGGCCGCAGTGCTCGGGGCGAGGCGTAGCCGGCTGCTTGCTGGCGGGCTGTCATTCCCTCCTGCCCTTAGACTTCATGAGGCTCTGCTCTCGGGGAACAAGATGGTCTGGCCAGTCCAGCTTCCGTGCAACAAAAACCGAACAGCGACAGTTACTAAGGGTGCCACATCTTACTCGTCTTATCTGAAAAAGCTGTGTCTTGCACTCTGCGCCGATGCATAGAAATCATGATCGTTTCTTCCTTGGTAACTCTGCATTTGGCTTTTCTTTCAAAAAAAAAGTAGAATGCTTCAGAGCACAGCAGACATTTGGAAAACTGAGACTAGATTCTTTTGTAACATAATAGGAGCAAACTGTAGTTGCTTGCTTCACAACATTTTTGCTCCTCTATGGTTTGCTGTCATGCTCACATTTCCTTTTCTGTCATTACTTCTGCTAGTGCAGGGATTTCCTTTTTTTTTAAACAAACAAACAAACAAAACACACACACACACGCACACACAAAAAAAAAAAAAAAAAACCAAACAAAAAAAAAAACAAAAAACAAACCCACCAAGCATCAAAACCAAAATGCTCATCCTATGTTCACTCTACATGCCAAAAGGAAAGTGAAGGGTAACTCAGCATTTTCCTTCCTTCACTTACTGTTTCCAGCTGCTCTTCCTGTTGTAGTTGTGTTGATAAATCTCTTTAATGTCTTCAGATGATTAACACTTTCTAAGGCCCTGATCCAGCTCAAGTAAATTGAGTTTGCATGAGTTCGAAATAGTATTATTAAGTGTGAAAAACATCTGTAATCTGTCTGAAGTATAGAGCAGAGAGCCTGCCAGCAAACAATCTGCTTGTACCAGTCATATATATATATATATACCATATATATGAGTTCTGGGATCTCATTCAGCAATGCTGTGCTGCACATTAACGTATTTGCATATGAACACACATCTATGTCTAGAAATACCACCAAAGTCCTTGAGGTGAATTTCGAATTATTCCCCCTCTTTCTAGCAGAGCAGAGCTGCTAATTTTACTGTTTTGATATAAGCTTAAAATAATTCAGAACTTCCAAGTGTGTTAGTTGTTTTGGTTTTGTTTTTTTTTTTTTGGAGGAAGAGCTGTGTAAACACCAATAACTTGTGTTTATATTTAATTGCATTTCAAGTAAATAACTTCTAAAAATTTGAACTGTCCTGAGGAACTGACTTAGATGTCATACTATAAAATACTGAATGCTACCAGTTCATGGAAGCTGTGGACACAAACTATTTTATACAGGAAGGCCAAAATTATTTTTAAAAGGGATTCTGCCTCAAACTTACCCTCTCCTTTTTTCTTTTTATCTCTTATCCCAGTACCCCACCACCCTTTTCATGCTAACCTCTAAATTCATTGCTTCAGCAGCTTTGACTGACTTACAGAATCGTAAGTGTAGCTGAAGCTGAGCAGCAGAGTGTTGGTAGTATATATGTAAGAAGGAAAAGCTAAAGAGAAAGATGTTCTGAGAAAAAGATGCTCTGAATGCGCTAATACCGGGTATATTCCACTTTGCTGCCTCTGAGCATGAGCAACAGAGTATAATGTTACAATGTGTTTTTCAGTGGTGCTTCCTAATGGACATGTTTTGGGTATGAAGGCCAAATCCCAAAGTTGTTACACAGTTACTTAACTGACAGAGCACTGCCAGTTGACAATGTAACCCACATAGCCCTTAGAATTGTTAGTTTATTTCCCCTGAAGAGGAAGAAACAAACCAAATCATATTTTCCAGAATATGTTTCTTCCTGATAGTAATGAATTATGCATTAGGTTATAAATCGCATTTAAGGAGATATTTTTGTTCTCCCCCTCCCCCTTTTTTTTTTCTTAAAGACTGCATCTTTTCAGAATCAATGTTGATGTTCTTGTGATATCCACAAGATGGCATATAGTGTCTTGTTTGTCAGTATCTGTACGTTTGGGTTTAAGGTTTACAATATTAGTAACAGAAGACCTTGAGAAGTAGTAAGTCAAGGAAGTTTTTTTTTGTTTGTTTTTTTTTTTAAGAAGTACATGGTTAGGTAATTTCACGAAGGTCTAACGGATGACTTCTATTTCATTCTGTCAAATAGTTGTAAAGTTTGTAATTTTTATCAGTCATCATGATGGGTTGGTGTGATCCCAGCTAAAACTTGGACTGTCCTTGATACCAGGTATGGTACTCTTCTGTTTCTTCTAAAAGTGTCATCAGATTTTAGTGATAAAACATGTCCGCTAGCATTGCCAGCCAAGAGAAGAGCAGTTTCATAGTAGGTACCTGCACTGAGGAAACTCAGGCACTATTTCAGCTAGGGGAAAACTTCTGTTCCCTGTTTACGCTACTTTATCTACAGCTATGATGAAAGTGAAAAGTGTTGCAATATTTTTCTGGTATATATATGTATACAGTCAAAGAAACCAGAATAAAGAAAACAGAGCATGTGTTATGTCATGTTTATAGGGCCTGTGCCAGGTTACCTGACTGAATATAACCTTTGTGGACTCATCATACTAATCAGTCTTCAATGCAGTGCAGAACATAATCTGTTCATCTTGTTTCTTAGTGAAACATATGACTTCTTGTTCCAGAGTTCAAGGATTCTGGGTAAGAGAAACGAGACACAAATAGAGAATTCACTACTAGTTTATTAATATAGGAAAATATAGGGATACTAACAGATTCATTAAAGGATACTTCTGATGTTTGGTTATCTTACCAACCTCAAAGACCATGTAATGGTGATCAGGAAATCAGCTCCAAGAAACATCATCACAGTGAGAGATGGCAGGCTCAACCTTGGTGGGTGTCCCTGTGGAGGAAATGTTGACCTGGGTGGTATGAGGTTCTACCTCTCTGCATTGCATGAGGCTCAGGCTTTCATACTAACAAAAATGCACACTCATTCTGACTCAGGGGGCCAGCCTATGTTGGAAGAAGGGGCCAACAATATCTAGAAAGGTTTCCAAGGGTCAGGACTTTTTTGGAGAGTTCTAAAGCTGAACTTTACGGGGAGGAAACAAAGCTGGACTTTCCGGAGAGCAGCCAAAGCAGGACTCTTCGGGGAGGAGCCAAAGTAGATAAACAGTACTTTTCTATCTTTGTGTGTTTCACCACGGACCATTATCTGTTGTCCCTGACACACTTGTATAACCCTATGCCAGAGGCCCTGTCTCCTGCCATCATACTGCAAAAGGGTGCATTCCTAGAAAAGGCTTAAAATAAGAGCAGAAGTACCCTGTTTCTTCCACGTAAAAAATAATCTGCTGGATACTGAGAAATTCTAGGGCTGACCTACACAAGGTGGAAATTGTGTTAATACCCAGCTTGGTGAAAAATTCAGGAGTGACTCAGAGAAAAGAGCGCCATGTAGTAAAACTAGTAGCATGTTAACCAGCAGCTTGGAAGTTTCCACTCCCAGTGTGACAAAACTCTCATTGATTCAAGAGTTCAATCCAAGGACACTCTGGCACACCTTACTTTTGGTGGGCTGAAGCCAGGTGATGAAATCAGAGTACAAAGATACATACAAAACACTCTTGCAAGAATGTCTAATAAACACACCTGCCTTGAAAGTTTCAGGTTTTTTTTTTCATATTTTAATCTGGAATAGCAAACCACAGAAGGTGTTTTTGAGCAGTCTGAAGTTTTGCTCCATTTGAAAGGACCACTTTCTTCTAAAAAGACATAACTGCATATTAATGTGATGACTACCGAAACTGTGTTAGATTACAGTGAAGCAACAAGTACTGTCTATGTGTGCATAGTAAGGCATAGCTGATATTATCTACTGAACAGGTTCTGGTTATTATATAAAATTCTATCAAGTACCATTGATATGTTACTAAATTATGTGTGAAACAAAGCTTGTCTGATTACTTCAAATGTTGCTGAAATATGACATGAGGGCATAGGGCTTGATGGTTTTGAAAGCTTCTATCAGCATATTCAGAAATTCCCTGAAATTATTAATCATGATTTCTTTTTCTAGTGCCTTTTCTCCATGCTGAAGCTGAACTGGCTTATTGAAAAATGCACAGCACTGCTTTCAAGCAGCTTACTGGCTTTTACTTGTCTCTGCACAGGACTGTATTGTGCAATGTGCGCAAACATAATGGTTGGTGCTTAAAGTTCTCTAAATTTTAAAAATACTGAAGAACCCAGCCTTTTTTCTTATTTCATAGAGCCTTTAAATGCATTTTTACAGCCCTCCTTATTTGTTCATTTTCAGAAAACAGTTTAATAGGTGTCTCAGGTTAAATAACTTTGATCTAACTAGTCCTGATTAGGCTGAATTATAACAATGGCCATCTGAACATCAGGTGTGTATCTCACATACTTTTTCCAGCCACAGCTGACCAGATCAAAATATTACTGACTAGTCTGTCACATATGAAAGCAATTAAAGCCTTTGATTTAGATTTCTAATTTGCTACAAAATGATACAACACAGCCTGATTAAGGGTTTGGTGCAATTTTCAGGA